CTTACCATAAACCAGGGTGATGTCTGACAAAAGGGCCTCAAAGCCTTCACCAAGAAGTGGAGTCCAAAGAAAAGAATAACATTAGCTACCTTGGAGAACCCTGCTCTTAGTTCTAAAGAACTTGGAGCTTGGGACTGACAATGTTTTACTGAGTAGATGAGATGTTTCAGTAACCAAAGCTCTGAGGGAACAAGATTAAAGAAGTTTTTGTTAGTTTCCAGGAAAGTATTTCTGCTATATCTAAAAGAACAGAGGGGAAAAAACCTATATACTTTAAGCTGAGACATCACGTCAGGACATGTTCTTCCCCAAAATGGAGAGAGCCAAGGTTTTCAGTGGAACCAGAAGCTGAAAGAAATGGAAAAAGGAGGGTGGGGGTGGAAAGAGAGGGGATTATTGGACTAACATCCAGCACAGCAGGATCCAAGTGGGCAAGTCCTTCCCAGCATCTAGAAGCATGATGAAATCGCTAGAAAATATCAGTAGCCTATCATTTGAGGCATGGCTTGCTCCTCCACGTGTGCACCCTGCCAATGCATGTTGCTGTGGGTACACTCTTCCCACAGAAATTGTTTTTGTTCATGGGAGAGTTAGCCACAGCTTTATGGAAGGAATGATTTGTTGCTACTTTTCTCACCAGGATACTTTATTAAATATCTTTTCTGTGAACTAAAGTATATCTTATGGCTGTTATAGGCAAACACATCAATGTGGACTCCTAATTTTATGGGATGCAGATGCATGGAGTACCTTGAAACTAAGATAGCCATTGCCTAGTGGACCCACCCCATGAGTTTGGGTGAGGGAGATTCCCCATGGGTGTTTCTCCCCATGGGAGAAAAGAAATTTTAAAGAAAGGATTGGACTACTTTCTGGAGTTGATGAGATGTGATCATTGACAACTGGGAAGAGGCAAAACTGCCCAGTTCTTATATTGCTTCTGTTTTCTCTGCCAAGGAGAAGGACCTTTGGACTAGAAAGGACAGAAAAAAGCAATTTGGGAGCTAATAGGGAGTTGGTGACCAAGATGAATAAGGAGATCATATGAGAACACCTAATTAACCTTGATGAGTTCAGATCACCTGGCCCAGATGAACTATATCATCAGGTACTGAAAGAAATGGTGGCTGTGATTGATGAGCTATCCTCAGGAAAGATAATGGAAAATAGAAAGGCACTTGAAGGACTGGAAAAATTCAAATATTGTCTCAATGGCTCTTTTTTTTTTAAGGCAAAATAATGGAAACTGAAAATTATAAGCCAGGATGTTTGACTTTGATTCTTGGAAAAAATTCTGGAATGTGTTTATTTAGAGATGGTTAATTAATGTCTAGAAAGTTAAATAGTAACAATAAAGAGGCAGCATGGCCTCATCAAGAACAGATCATACCAAGTTCACCTTATTTCCTTTTTTTGATAGAACTGACATTAAAGGAATACCATATATAGATTTTAACAAACTATTTTATGAAGTCTCCTCATGCTATTCTTATGGAAAGATTTAGGGATGTGAATTAAATGATAATACAATCGGTAGATTTGTTGTTCAGTCATGTCTGGCTCTTCGTGACCCCATGGACTAGCACAGTGATACTGTACATGGAGTTTTCTTGGCAAAGATACTAGAGTGGTTTGCCATTTTCTTCTCCAGTGAATTAAGACAAACAGGTTTAATGACTTGCTCAGGGTCACACAGCTAGTAGTAAGATTTGAACTTGTCTTCCTGACTCCATGCCCATCTCATTATCCACTGAGTCATCTAGCTGCCTCACAGTCAGCAGATTACCTGATCTCAAAGAATAGTCATCAGTACTTTTATGTTGACTTAGCAAGAGCTCTCCAATGGAATGTTCAAGGGAACTATGCTTTTAAACATTTTTTTCAGTGTCCTAAATAAAAGTATAGATATTACGTTTATTAATTTATGAAGGTGACAGAAATCCTAAAGGGGTAGCTAACTTCAGATGACAGAATTAAAGTCTGAAAAGATTTTAACAAGCTAGAACTTTTGGACTGAATCTGAGGCAACATGGAACAATGGAAAAGGTACTGACTGGAATCAGATCCTAAGTTCAGTCATTACTGTGACTGAACATAAGCAAATCACTTAACCTCCCTGGACCCTAGTTTTCTCATCTATAAAATGAGGAAGTTTGACTAGATGGATTCTCAGAACCCTTCCAGATCTCAAATCTATGTTACTCTACTCTAAAATGAAAATCAATTGGCATAAATGTAAATTTTTATGCTTGGGTTTGACAAATTAGCTTTAGATTTTTGATATGGAGAAGATGCGGCTAGGCACAGTTTACCTGGAGATCTTAGGAAACTGTGTGCTCTACAGGAATTAACAGTGTGATATGTGTGATCTTGGGATCCATTGAGAAGTATATTGTTGTTGTTGTTGTTGTTGTTGTTGTTGTTCAGTTGTTTCAGTTGACCCTTTGTGACCTCATTTGGGGTTTTCTTGGCAAAGACACTGGAGCGATTTACCATTTCCTTCTCCGACTCATTTTCCAGAGGAGGAAACTGAGGCAAACAGGGTTAAGTGACTTGCCCAGGGTCACACAGCAAATAAGTGTCTGAGGCCAGATTTAAATTGTGGAAGGTGAGTCTTCCCGACTTCAGGCCCGGCACTGTATCTACTGCCCCATCTAAAGAGGTATAGCTTCCAGGAATAAGGAGCAGATGGTCCCATTATACTCTGCCCCAATCAGAAGCACATCTAGAATTTGGGGTTTAATTCTGAATATCAAATTTTAGGAAGGGCATTGACAAGCTAGAGAAAATTCAGAGAAGGGCAGCTAGAATATTGAAGGGTTCTAAGTCCATGTCATCTGAAGATTGGTGAGAGATGCTGGAGGTATTAGCTTGAAGAAGAAAAGGCTTGGGGTTGAGGGCTGGGGAGCACGATAGCTGTTTATGAGTATTTGAAAGGCTATCATGTAGAAGCATTATATTTGTTTTGTTTGGCACTACAGGGCAGAAATAGGATCAATGAGTGGAAGTTGTAAAGAGACACACTAAAGTTTGATTATAAAAAAGAAAAATTCCTAAAATTAGAACTATCCAGAAGTGGCAGGTGCTGCCTCAGGAAAGAATGAGTTCCCCCTCATTGAAGGTCTTCAAGCACAGGTGGGTATATTATAGTGGGAATTTTTTTTTTTAGTATGACCTGGATTATGAGGCATGAGTTTCTCCTCCACAAATGCACCCTGACCATGTATGTTGCCATGTGTACACTCTTCCTGCTTTTATTCATGGAAGAGTAAGCATATTTGGTTTCTGAGGACCCTTCCAAATCTAAAAATCTGTAGATAGAATATATACCTAGAAAGTTATGCTTCATCATAGTGTAGAAGTAAACCTGTGTTCTTGAAGGATCTGTCCATGGAAGACAATTGGACAGGTCCTACCCAGTTGAAAATGTTTCAGGGACAGACATGGTGATAGTCGTTGGCTACATTATGATGCTCTTTTAGCCACAAAGTGATTAAATGTTTGGACACTCCAACCCTTGAAGACCATCTACCATATTTTATAGGGTTTTCTCACAAAATTACTGATACTTGAAATGTTGAAGCAGATTTATCAGAAGACCTAGTAAAAAAATTTCTTTGTCTTATGCCATCAGAGACTTAGAAAACAATTGGAGAACAGTATCTTTCACAAAAAAACATACTTGATTGTAGGAAGAACCAGACGAAAAATCAATCAAAATACACTAATTAAGTGTTTACTATGAGCCAAGCATTGTGCTAAGTGCTGGGAGTACAAAGAAAGGGGAAAATGGCCACTGCCTTCAGGGAGCTCTCACATTCTGTTGGGAGAGGAATATGTATGTACGTGTGTATGTACATATGAGATATATACAGAGTAGATGAGAAATAATCCCCTAGGTGAAAGCATGACTATGAACTATGTTTCAGAACATTTTAATGGGCCAAATGTGAAGGGATAATTTTAAAAAATGATGTGCCAAATTCTCCTACAGACTATTTATTGAACCTATACCTGGAGTCCATAGGGTTTAAGTCTTTTGGTCTTACTTTATGTTGTATTTATCTTCACTCCTAGTGATGCATGTGTGTGTGTGTGTGTGTGTGTGTGTGTGTGTGTGTGTTGTGTGTACCAGGAGCATTGAAATGACTTTGCATTTTTTTCCCGAGGTCGCCAGGGAATCTGGTAGGCAGTGAAGTTCAAATCATGGATCACATCTAAAACATCACCTGGACACAATATTCTAACTTCTATTAGGCTAGTCCTCTTCACATTTGCCATTGTTGCAGCAAACATATACATGGCAGTCTGAAGCATAGTGTTAGTATTAGAAGGTAGATTGGATTTTCAGTTAATTATTAAAATTCTTAATTACCAACAGCTTAGCTTTTTTTTAAATACAAGGGCCTGAGCCCCCACAGGCCTGAGCTAACATTTATGAAATGTCCTCGGGGTTGACATAAAGTTAGTATTTATTAAGTGCCTGCTGTGGACCAGGCACTGTGCTAAGTCCTGGGGATACAAAGAAAGAGAAAAGACAGTCTCTACTCTCAAGGAGCTCACAGTCTAATGGGGAAAGACAACATAATATAGCTATGTACAAACAAGATATGTACAGGATAAATTGGAGAGAGTCATCATAGAGAGGGCACTAGCAATAAGGAGGATCAGGAAATACTTATCTTAGAAGATGGGATTTTAGCTAGGACATGGAGGAAGCCAGGAGGCAGAAAATGAGGGGAGAACACTCCAGGCATGCAGAATAACTGGGGCAAATGCCTGGAGTTCAGAGATGGGGTATTTTGTTTGAGGAATGAAAAGGAGGCCAGTGTCACTGATATAAGATACTGTGCATGTAGGCTTATCTTCATTGGGCTTATTTTAATTTATCCTTTATACCTGTGTCTTTTCTTGATAGTTGTCTTTGCAAAACTTGTTTAATCCTTTTGGCATGTGATTTAAGATCTCCATTGTTCTATAATATAATGCTTTATTTTCAGCATATTGGGACCCAAAGGTTTTCACAGCTTACGATGTATTTCGTGTAAGTCTTATCACATCAGAGCTCATTGTTAAGGAGGTAGACACTCAACGGAATGGAATCAAAGCTATCTTTGATCTGGAAGGATGGCATTTTTCTCATGCCTTTCAAATCAGTCCGTCTGTTTCCAAGAAGATTGCTGCTGTGCTAACAGTAAGTTTAAAACAAAAATTTTAATTCTAAGTATCAGATTTAATATTTACAAGCAGTGCTTATATTTGGTGACATTTGTGACTAACACTAGGCTGAATTTAGTAGAAGGCAAGTAGAAAAATGGCCTCTTTCTAAGAAAAACAAATGGATACTCTAGTTACTGTTATCTCCATTTTACAGATACGAAAACTGAGACTTAAAGAGGTTAAGGTCACTCTAGTCACTATGCTATGTTGGATCAAACTTAAATAAGGAATGGCTTTTTTTTCCAACCTGCTTACTCCTTCCACTGAACACTTCATATATCATGAAGTGAAATAAAGTGAATTGGGAAGCTTTAACCATTGGTGCAGTGTGATTAATCAAATCACTTGGTCTTGACCTTAACTGAAGCTTACATGCTTACGTGTAGCACAAAAGCCCAGACTATGAGCTTTTGCCCTACTGGATCTTTAAAATATTTTTCCATTCACCTTATTAAGCCTTATAAATTTTGTACCATATAAATGAGTCCCAAGAAAATAATAGACCTCTCTGTAAAATCAAAAGAAACCAACATATGCAAAGATACACATAATAACTCAAATGTCATAACTTAGAAAAACTGTGTAGTATTGGCTATGGATAGAACCATTTCATTTTTGTAACCTAGAACAATGTTTTTTACACAGTAGGAATTTGATGTTTGTTAAATTAGTAGGTCAGAAGCTGATTTGAGGGAAATATGTAGAGAAGTATGTGCATATGTACATCAGATTTGAAAATCTAGTGTTAATAGCTTATTTTATTATTGTTGTTAAGTCACTCAGTCGTGTTCAACTCTGCATGACTCCATGGACTTTTGTCCATGGGGTTTTCTTGGCAAAAGATACTGGAGTGGTTTACCATTTCCTTCTCCAGTGGATTAAGGCAAGCAGAGGTTAAGTGATTTGCTCAGGGTCACACAACTAGTAAATGTCTGAGGTCAGATTTGAACTCAGGGCTTCCTGACTCCAGGCCCCAGGCTCTATCCATCGTACCACCTAACTGCCCCTTTTATAGCTTATGCCAATGTCCAAAATGAATAATGAAAAACTTTGTTCAGACTAATTATAAGATGTGTATATAATTGGGGGAGATGGGGAGAGGGTTTTCTATTATTTATCTATGTGGATTTTGTGATTTTTTTTCCCCTCAGGTAGATCTGTATGATCTAAATTCCTAAAATAAATCTAAAATATAAATTCTATTGGCTTGTTTACTTTTATCTGTGAATCAGACAAACTTTTATAATGTATGAATGTTTTTAAAAAAGTTATAATTCTGATTTGGCTTTGGGTATAATGAATATACTAAAGAAATACTTCACTTGCACCTTGTTTATAATGAAATTATGTTAATATTTATTTATACTTTTTTGCTGACACATTAATTTTTTTTAAAGGACTCTTTTCCCTTAAAAGTTCGTGGTATCCATTTGATAAATGAGCCTATAATCTTCCATACGGTCTTTTCTCTGATTAAACCTTTTCTGACTGAAAAAATTAAGCAACGGGTAAGTAATATTTTTAAATCATTTGTTCTATGGTGATATGCAAGTTATGGTTTTTCATAACCTCTATTTGAATCCTAGACGCCTAGGTTATACAGTGTTGGAATTGAAGTCAGGAAGACCTGAGTTTGAATCCTGTCTTAGACTACCTGTGTGACTAAAGTCATTTAACCTCTCTCAGGTTCGGTGTCCTCATCTGTAAAATGAGGATAATAATAGCACCTGCCTCACAGGTTTGTTGTAAGAATCAAATGAGATAATATATAGGCAGTACTTTGTAAACATTGAAGTTCTATGTAAAGGCTAGCTATTATTTTTATCATTAATATACTGAAATCAGCTAATGTTGATTTTTCTTAAAAATTAGAAGGCAATAGTGAATTATATCTATCTCGGTTGCAGAAAAGGAAAAAAATCTTAGCAGTTCAACAAATAGAAGTCACAGATGACAAAATAGAATAAAATAGATTGATTATCAAAAGTTAAAAGAAAAAATTGAGAAAAATCTTTGTCATAAGCTTTTTAAAAAAAAAAAAAGTGATCTGGTTTAAAAATGCCTAGGAAGTGATGCAGAGGCCTTGTTCCAGGAAAGATAAGGTGAAAGTTCACCTTATCAGAGCCCATGGTCCCAGAGGTAGAGTTCAAGGGTAAGGAGGACAAGGAGGAAAACCAAAGTATAGTCAAAATGATCAGTGATAGGAAAAACCTGCATTCCTGCCTGATTTGACAGTTCAACATCCAAAAAATTCCTAATGGTGACTGCTTTTTAAAGACCTCTAAAGATGGAGTTTTTACAATCTTCCTTTGCAATCATAGAATCATTGATTTTTAGAGCTAAAAGCTAGTGCTCATCTAGTACCACCCCTTTCTTTCATTGATGAGGAAAATGAGCCCAGGATAATTAAGTAATTTGCTACTAGTCAGTGGCCAAGTAAAAACAAAACTGGATTCCGACCCACGTCCTCTGACTTCAGATCTATTCTTTCCATTGTGCCAGAGGAATGTATAGTAATATAACTTAATAATAGAATGTCCTGTGTTCACACGTTAGGTTGGAATCAAGCTGCCACAGTACTGCAGGATAATGTCTGTAGGGTGCTTAGTGTTTAAGAATATTCAATGTAACTTATCCTAAAGTCCTTCTCTCTGAAGATGACCTATTTTTTATGTTTTATGGAACTGGGAAATAGTTATTTACCATGATATTTGTAATTTTCTGTATACCTGAAGATCATTAAGTAGTCTGATCAATCTAAGAAGTGAGCAGAATGAAAGCCCAAAGACCAGGAAATAAAGAAGTTGGTTAATCAAGGAAACTATCCCAGTAGATAAAAATGCTATGAGAGACTCAGGAAGGAGAAAAAAAATTCAACCAGTCTTCCTCTAAGCCATTCAACAGTACCCCCTTTAGTTTTCTTATTTAGACTTTCCTGAGCCAACATCAACCAATCAATTTTATTTTTAATATTTGAGAACACATTAGAATACAGAGCACCGGTCAATATGTTTGAGATTTGAGGAGAAGATTATTCTAACAACAGAATGAACATGGCACTGGATTTTCAATTCTTTCATAATAGTATTTTTAACACTCAACATGATGAATTTGGAAGATTTATAAAACTGAGGGATTTCAGATTTTTAACTAGTGATAATTTTCTTTTCATTTCTAATTGACCCTAAGGAATAAAGGTACAAAGACATTATTCTTAACACCATATACCTAAGATGCGTATATAATATTTGCAAGAACTTTCATGATTACAAGTATTTATTGAGCATCCTTCAATAGAGTAGTTACTTTGCTGAGAATCAGTTGTATATCAGAAAGTGAAATTCAGAAAATGTTGAATTTGAGTATCTTTTTTTTTCTTTCAGAAGGGAAAATATTCCTTTTCAACCTACCTATCCTCCTTTCCCTATAACTATAACCATGAAAATGGTTGTAGGGATTCCAGGGAATCAGTATAAATAATGACTCTTTATGTGTTTCAAGCTTAGCTTCAGTAGGGATTGATGTCAGAGTCAAATTAGGTTCAAAATTGAGAGTGTTGTAGCCCTCTGTACTGGTACTGATATAAAAAAAAACAGTAAAAATGCATTCTTTAATATAATGTGGCATCTAAACTCAATCTCATGTCTTTCAAGTCATTAGAGCATCCCTGTTCTATGCTGTAGACTTTCAGTTGGAAATAGTTTTTCACATATTTTTTGTATGTTGAAAAAAAGGGGTAAAAAACACTTTCTAAAACTACTGTTTCTTTCAGATTCATATGCATGGAAGCAATTATAAACAAAGCTTATCCCAGCATTTTCCAGACATTCTACCCATAGAGTATGGTGGTGAGACATGTTCCATGGAGGACCTTTGCCAAGAGTGGAGAGATTTTATAATGAACTCTGAAGATTATCTTCGTAGCATTTCTCAGGATGTCCAGTAACATTTTATCATAAGATAAACCATCAGATAGGCTTTATTAATTCAAATCGTGGGGAAATATTTCTCCATGGTAACTACATGGAATAATAACCTCTACCAAATGCAGTCTTCGAAAATGTGAACTTCAGAATGTGAAAGTTACTTTAGTGAGGACAACTATGGATATTGTCCATTTTTAAATTTTTTAAATTGAATTTTCCACTAATTTTTAGAAAATTACATAGATGTTAGACCTCAAAAAGTATTAAGGGAGATTTGCATCTTAATCTTGAATAAGTTATGTCAGAGTTAGATATGACAAGGCTGACCTCCACTGCAGGTAAATTGCATGTCTTTGGAATATATTCCAAAGAAATATTCCTGTAGTTACTGAAACATGAAGTCAGTTCAATTCAATGGAATGTATAGAGTAGGTCATCAAAAGAAAAAGTAACACAAACTCATCTATGACAAATGCAGTCCAAATAGTTTGGTTATGGAAACAACTGAGTTTGAAATCTCACTTGTCATATATGAAGTTACTTCCTCAGGCCAGAAAGACAGGGAAAGAAAAAAAAAGGAATTCATCTCAGGGAAATAGTATTTCAGCTGCTTTGCACAATGAAACACTTTAGCTGAAGCATGACAAAATATCATGTACTCTTGTGCATCATATATCAACCTGTGTGAAACTACTCACATCACTATTGACAAATGAAAAAAATTGTGGAAAATGCTTCATGTATAGCTAATAGTTTTCCAATCCTGATGGGTGTGTGTGTGTGTGTGTGTGTGTGTGTTTGTGTGTGTGTGTGTGTTTGTGTGTGTGTGTGTGTGTGTGTGTGTTTCCCTAGCTACATAATAATCAGGCTTTTAATTTTGACTTCTAGATGAGCTAATTTTTTTAGTTACCACAATAGGCACAAGAATTTGGAAATTGTATCCATATGTCTTATATAACCTAGTTTTAAAAGAAGCACAATATTAATTGAATAATAAGAAACCTCAAATTAAAGAATAGAGGAAATGTTCACATTATTTTAATATAAGTGGGGAGCAGTTTGACATTGTAGGGAAAAAAAAAACATTGCATTTGGAATCAAAAGGATCTAAGTTCAAATCTGAACTCTTACTAGCTGTGTGACTCTGGGCAATTTCCTCATTTGTAAAATTAGCAGTTTAGACCACAATTCTGAAGCCTTTTTTTAGCTTTACTGTAAATACTATGATCTTAGAAATGTCATTTAACTAGAATTTTCATTGTTTTTTTTTAATAGTAGCAGTTGTGCAATTAGATTAGGAAGTCTTAGAAATGTTAATTAGGCTTCTGAAAAATATTGCCAGGTAATTAAAATGTGCTATTTCCACTATTCCTAGTGTGCAATAGCACATCAAAAGAAGAGAACAACTCAGCCCTCTTATTTAATATAGATTTCAATTTTAATATAAGTTTCTACATTTGCTATTTTGCCACTTTTTATTGCACCTTTAATTTGTAAGAAGAAAAGGATTTTGGAGCTAACTGTCTTTTCACATAATAATGGTACTTATAATGCAATGTCATCCTTGTTGAATGGTACCCCAGTATAAGAAAAATCATCTAATTAAGTGATACTGATATAATTGATACCATGTAATTAATTATTTCTGTGATCTATATACATTGTTCTTATCTTTTTCAAGTATACAGATCTCTTTTTAAGATTAAAAAAAGTATCATGGTATTTATTGATTAAGAAAGCTGCTGTGAATTCAGTCTATGGGATATCATCAATCAGTATGGGAAACTCGCCCGTATGAGAACTCCCTCTATCAGTATATTTCACAATTTGTATTCATTAATCACAACAGTACATATATATTTTTCAAAATTATGTGCAAAGATTGATTTAATCTATATGAGGCATATTGAATTTTAGATTCATATATGAATTTACAGACCCTTTGCAAAATCAATGGTTCATGGCCTCACAGATTGGGAACAACTGTTTTGCTGGTGTTCATTCATTCAGTCATGTCTGACTCTTTGTGACCCCATGGACCATAGCACAACAGGCCCTTCTAACCTCCACTATTTCCTGAAGTTGGTCCAAGCTCATGCTCATGTTCATGCTTCCATGACTCTATCCATCTCATTCTCTGCTGTCCCCTTCTCCTTTTGCCTCTAGTCTTTCCCAACATCAGAGTCTATTCCAGTGAGTCTATCCATCTCATCATGTAACCAGAGTATTTAAGTTTCAGCTTCAGTATTTGTCCTTTTAATGAATAGCCTGAATTAATTTCTTTAAGTATTGACCACTTTGATCTCCTTACTGTCCAAGGGACTCTCAAAAGTTTTCTCCAGCACCACAATTGAAAAGCTTCAATTCTGCAGCCCTCAGCTTTCCTTATGGTCCAACTCTCACAGCTCTACATTGCTACTGGAAAAACTGTAGTGTTGACCATACAGACCTTTGTTAGCAAGGTGATATCTCTACTTTTTAGTATACTGACCAGATTTGCCATAGCTGTTCTTTCAAAGAGCAAGCATCTTTTAATTTCATGACTGTTTACACTGTTTGCAGTGGTCTTTGAATCCAAGAATATAAAATTTGACACTATTTCCATTTCTTCCCTATTTGTCAAAAAGTGATGGGGCCAGTTGCCAGGATCTTAGGTTGTTTTATTGTTGTTGTTGTTTTGTTTTTATGTTAAGCTTCAAGCCAGCTTTGACACTCACCTCTTTCACCCTTGTCAAGAGGCCTCTTAATTCTTCTTCACTTTCTTTCTTTCTTTTTTTTTTTTGGTGAGGCAATTGGGGTTAAGTGACTTGCCCAAGGTCACACAACTAGTACACGTCAAGTGTTTGGTCTGAGGCCAGATTTGAACTCAGGTCCTCCTGACTTCAGGGCTGGTACTCTATCCACTGCATCACCTAGCTGCCCCTCTTCTTCACTTTCTGTCATAAGAGTAGTATTGTCTGCATTTCTGAGATTGTTGGTATTTCTCCTGGAAACCTTAATTCTGGTTTTTGATTCATCCAGTGTGACATTTTGCATGATGTACTCTGCTTATAAGTTAAATAAATAAGGTGACAATATACAACTTTGCTGTTGCCAATCTTAAACCAGTCAGTTGTTCCATGTTCAATTCTAATGGTTGCTTCTACCCACATACTGGTTCCTCAGGAGACAAGTAAGATGATCTCTTTGAGGACTTGCCACATTTTGTTGTGATCCACAAGTCAAAGACTTTAGTGTAGTCAGTGAAGCAGAAGTAGATATTTTCCTGGAATTCCCTTGCTTTCTCCATCATCCAGTGAATGTTGGCAATTTGGTCTCTTAATTTTTCTGCTTCTTTGAAAACCATCCTGCTCTTCTGGTAATTCTTGGTTAACAATTTGCTGAAGCCTAGCTTACAGAATCATAAACATAATACTGCTGTCATGTGAAATGAGAGCAGTTGTTCAGTAATCTGAATTTTCTTTGGCAATGCTCTTCTTTAGGATTTGGGATGCAAACTGATCTTTTCCAAACTTTTGAGTTTTCCAAATTTTCTGGCATATTGAGTGCAGCACTTTAACAGCATCATCTTTTAGGATTTTAAATAGTTCAGCTGGAAATCCAGCACCTCCACTAGCCTTATTGTTAGCAATGCTTCCTAAGGCCCTCTTGACTTCATTGTCCAGGAATGACTCTAGATCAGTAACCACATCATCATGTTTATCAATGATGTTAAGATCTTTCTTATATAGTTCTTTTGTTTATTATTGCCACCTTCTCATAGTTTCTTCTACTTCTGTTAAGTCCCTACCATTTTTGTCTTTTATCATGCCCATTTTTCTATGAAATGTTCCTTGCTATCTCTAAGTTTGTTGAAAAGATCTCTTGTTTTTCCCATTGTGTTGTTTCCTTTAATTCTCTTCTTTGCTCCTTTAAGAAAACCTTCTTATCTTTCCTTGCTATTCTCTGAAATTCTACATTCAATTGGGTATATCTTTCCCTTTTTCCTTTCCCTTTTGTTTTCCTTCTTTGCTCAGCTATTTATAAAGCTTCATCAGCCAGTCATTTTACTTTTCTTTTTCTTCGGGATGCTTTTTGTTGCTACCTCATACAGTATTGTGAACCTCTTTCCATAGTCCTTCAGGCACTTTATCTAACAGATCTAATCCCTTTAATCTAGTCATCACCTCGACTTCATAGTTATAAGAGATGTTATTTAGGTCATACCTACATAGTTTGATGATTTTCCCTATTTTCTTCCATTTAAGTCCAAATTTTACAATAAGAAGCTTATGTTCTGAGCCACAGTCAGCACCAAGTCTTGTTTTAACTGACTTTATGTACCTTCTCCACCTTTTGTTGTAAAGTATAGTCAATCTGATTCATTATTGACCATCTGATGATGTCCATATGCAAAGTCACCTTTTAGTTTGTTGAAAAAGAGTGTTTGCTATCACCAGTGAGTTATCTTGACAAAACTCTATTAGTCTCTGCCCTGTTTCATTTTGTACTCCAAGAGCAAACTTACCTGTTATTTCAATTATCTTTTGATTTGCTACTTTAGAATTATATTCCCCTAGGATGAATGTGACATCTTTTATTATTATTTTTATTATTTCTAGAAGATGTTATAGGTCTTCATAGAACTGAGCAACTTTGGTCTATTTGGTATCAGTGGTTGAAACATAGGCGTGTATTATTGTGATGTTGAATGGTTTGCCTTGGATTTGAACAGGTATCATTCTATCATTTTTTACTGCTTTTTTTAACCCTTTTATTGACTATGAGGGCTACTCCATTTCTTCTAAGGGATTCTTGCCCACATTAGTATATGAAGTATATGAAATGATCACTTGAATTAAATCCACCCATTCCCATCCATTTAAGTTCACTGACACCCAAGATGTTGATGTTTAATCTTTCCATCTCCTGTTTGACCACATCCAACATACCTTGGTTCATAGACCTTACATTCCAAGTTCCTACACAATGTTAACCTTTGTAGCACTGGACTTTCCTTTCGTCACCAGACGCAACCACAGCTGAGCTTCCTTTTGGCTTTGTCCCAGCTGCTTCCTTCTTTCCAGACTACTTGTAGTTGTCTTCGCTCTTCCTCAGTAACATGTTGAACGTTTCTGACCTGAGGGTCTCATCTTCTGATGTCATATCTTTTATCTTTTTAATACTGTCCATGAGGTTTTCTTGGCAAAGGTACCGGAGTAGTTTGCCATTCCCTTCTCTAGTCAATCACCTTTTGTCTAAACTCTCCACTGTGACTTGTCTGTCGTAGGTAACCCTGGAATAGCGTGTAGTTTCATCGAGCTAACTAAGTCCCTCCACCAGGTAGTGATTCAAGAAGGCCTGTTGTTTGGTAGGAATATAATAAATCCCTTTTTTAAAAATGCATTGAATCTTGATTTAGCATTAGGAAGTTGCCCTCTCATTTCTTTTGCTTACTTTCCTAGGAAGGGAATCACATCACAAAATTTTCTTTCTTTCATACAAGGAGCATATAAGGTGTTTTCTTACAGTCATTTGATGGGATGTTTAGAATTAATGAACAATATTTGTTTCTGTATGACTGAAAATTTTTAATTCAGTTCTTTGGTGGTATGCTTAAATAAGGATTCTTCAGTGGGTATTTTTTCAGATTAAAGTACATCTATGTGAAGGGCTTTCTTTATGATGGGAAATGGCTCTAAAATTATTTTTCTAAAATATCAGAGTACATGAAGAACACCATAAAGACCACTTTGAAATGAACAGAGAATTTTTAAGATTGGTAGACAGTCTGCAATAACACTGTCTGCTTATCTGTTATTTTTCTATGATTGCGCTAGGAGTACCTTTAAAAGATAACCATGTTAAGTATTGAATCTGTTATTGAACTTTACAAAAGTTAATTTTTTATTTGTTTTAATGATATTGTTCATGAGGAAATAAATATATTTCATATAAACTTTGGTATACTGGATTTTTTTCTTTTAATATATGTACAAGACATCTTTTTCAAAAAATATTTTTTCTGCCAACAAAATTAAGAAGTACAACTAAGCAAAATTCTTCACAGAAAAATTTAGGTCCAAGACAATCAGTTTCCTCCTGCTGCTTCCAACCACTTTCCCCCA